ATACACTAAACGCCTTTCAATGATATATTGAGTACTATTGGGAAGCTCTGAGAGGGGATGACATGTTTGCCATTTCAACACCAATTTGTCGCTTTTAAATCATTTTGAACTCATTTTATGCAAAAACTTCTCGCATTCCAAACACTCAATCGCTTTTGTGAATGAATATTGTAATCAACCTATCAATCCATCACTCATTCAAAACTATATTTATAATTGTTTTCAAATCAATTATCGTCAAAATATCATTAAATTATTTTTGGTTTACTGTATTTTTTTAAAATAATTTTATTTAAATGATAGTAATTTTGTATTAACAATATTGTTTATTTGGCTGAAAATTGCCACCCATTGTGTATTATGTGTGTTATGTTACAAAAAAGTTTAACCATGGTATTTAGTGGACGCAAAGTTAAAGTTGACTTTTAATATTATAAATCTTATAGTAATACTGTTCACATGTATATACAATACTGATTTATAAATCACATGTTTTACCAATAAATCTTTGATTAAATCTTAACGTTATGTCATTTTCTTATTATTTGCTATGCAAATGCCTTTTTATCATTATATATTTCAAAATCACTGTTAAAAACTAAAGTTAGATAAAGATTTAGATTAAATTAATGGTTATTTGATGATTAGTTTTAAACAAATTTCACATAAATACTAATTTGGGTGCGAAAGAGAGAAAGAGAAAAAGGGAAGAGAAAGATAGATAGATAGATAGAGAGAGAAAAAAAGAGAGAGAGAGAGAGAGAGAGAGAGAGAGAACATTATAATCTATAGTGCAATTAATAATATAAGTATTAGTTATTTTCAGTTAAATAGTATGGTGTTAAATTTCGTAATATTGACTGGACTTTAGTGACTAAACAAACAAATCTGTATAATTAAATTTAATCACCATTAAAAATTTACAACATAGATCAATTAAGACAGAATATGATGTAATTTGAACAAGTATATTTTGATCATACATGAATTTTTGCATTTTTAAGTGAACGTAAAAATGTTTATGTGAACAAAGATAACAAAGAATTTTGTTATTTAAACTGAACGCTAATTACTGGGAATGTGTATAATATTCTTCTTCTTTACTTAGAAATTATTATCAATAGAACCGAAATTGTGTTGACATTAATATACTGTATATAAAAAACAGTGGCTTATGTTTATTCACTATTTTTAATATTTATTTGATTTTGAGATTAATTGGATATTCGATACTTCAGAATATGATGTAATTTATTGCAAATTATATAAATTAAAACTTTGTGGGAATCATCAAAAGCCAATTCAAAGCTGTATCTATTCGTCAGCAAATAGTAAAGCGTTAGTGTATAGCCAGTGGATGAGAAAACCCACAGTAAGTATCTTACATCCCATATAACTTAAAACTTTTTTCGGATCGTTTTACTCCAAGGGGAGGATCTCTCTCTCTCTCTCTCTCTCTCTCTCTCTCTATCTATCTATCTATCTTTCTCTTCCCTTTTTCTCTTTCTCTCTTTCGCACCCAAATTAGTATTTATGTGAAATTTGTTTAAAAAAAAAGTTTTAAGTTATATGGGATGTAAGATACTTACTGTGGGTTTTTGTGCTCTCTCTCTCTCTCTCTCTCTCGTAGTCTGAGTCCCGCTGGAAATGTTGCCAAAAAAGTGAAGGATTCTTTGGGATTCACATTCTAACGATTCAACTCTCGATGGTTTTTGTGCTCTCTTTATGCTATTATGCTTTCAAATGTTTGTAAAGTTGTATATATTTTGCAAACATTTCAGTAATAATATTATTTGAATCTAGTTTTCACTCAAAGTTGTCACTTGTTTGCCAATTGAAATATTTAATAAAAAGTTATTTTATTAAAATACATATTAAAGGGACTATTTATTTGGTTAAAAAGTTGAATTCTTTGATTTGTTGATAATATGGTGGCAGATATGCAGAGCTGTCAGTACTCTAACGCACTGTCGAGTGCTTCACATATCATAAACTATCAAGAATTCAATTCTTCAAACCCAATGCCTGCCAACAGAGCCATTGGTGCCGACAATAATGATTTGACCGGTAATATAAATAACTCGTGGATTCAGTCGTCAACATATGATCCAAACGAAAGGGACAGCTCTTCACTCGACTCGATTCCCTCTCCAATTGGATCTCATTTTGCAGATCAACACAATTATCACATCGCGGGAAGCGGTGAACGAAACTCTTCACAATCTAACGGATCGGATGATTGTGTTGGACAGGAGAGTCGAAAGTGTCTGCTGTGGGCCTGTAAGACATGCAAACGAAAGTCGGTGTCTATTGATCGCAGAAAAGCTGCCACAATGAGGGAAAGGAGAAGATTAAGGAGAGTATGTAATCAATGCTCGTTTAAATTACTTTATATTTTGCTTAATTATATACCGAATTGAGTCTAATTTATAACATTAAAGTATCAAAAGAGTCAACTCTATAATTGAGTTATTGTTAAACTATAATTTAAAGCGATTGGATATATGTATAAAATGTATATTTTAATGTTATATTTGAGGTGAACGAGGCTTTTGAAGTGTTGAAGAGGAGAACGTGTTATAACGCGAACCAAAGGCTACCAAAAGTGGAAATACTTCGGAGTGCTATCGAATACATCGAGAATTTGGAGGATTTGTTACAACAGAACAACAATAATAATAATATAGGAAACGGTTCACAACTAACCGGTCGCTCATCTCTGCTAAACTCGAGCTCAATGTTTGCCATAAATCACTCGCGAGGATCACATATGAGCTCACAATACACTGTAAGATCCATTGACTAAAATGTGTGCTAAAATCCATTGACATTGTATTCCTAAAAACTAATTACTTTTAAATTAACCAAAAACTAACACATTTTGTGGCTATCGTTGACACGAATTAGTTTTGAAAATCAAGTTTAAAAACGTCTAAAAGAAAGAGTAATCACTCTTTGAGAAGAGGAAGTCTCGGCTGACATAGCATTCAATGCAAATGTCTAGTCATTACTCCACACCTCATTGAGCTTATGATTTATTAGCATTGGGTTACCCAAGGGTTACCATATCTATCAACCCTATAAACATCATAACATTTCTCTTTTTGTAATTTAATCTAAACTGTGAATTGTATAGGAATTTCTGTTTTGCTTTTTCAACACACATAACGTAATAATATAGTAAAAAACTATAACTTTAATGTAAAACATCTCTTTTATCACTTCAATTAAGTAGTCATTTAGTCAATTGATTTATTGTTTGAACATGCTTTAATTGGATCCTTATCATATTTTAATCATATCAATCAATTTAAAGCAATTATAGAGTTAATTAAGGTTATACTCTCTACAGTATCTAACACTCTAAGAATTTAAGTATTATACTGTAGTGCCTATAATAATATTATAGTCTCTAAATACAGAAGTAAATTGTTTTATGTTGCAATTGACTGTATAATAGTTTAATTATAGTTATATGACTTGAATCAGTATTTCATTGCATGCATTTTATTGCATTCGTGACAACAAATACTGAACATGGATACTTTGAAAGTGATTTATCGAGTTAATGAAATAAACAACTTTCACTTTCTTGACCTTTGATTTCATAAGAATATAACATATCATACAAAATGGACTGAAAGTGTTTCCCACTTAAGACTTCAAACTTCCAGAATGGGAATGACATCACTTTAATAGAGAGCCAACCCTTTAATTTACAATTGCTTTAGTCCTTCTGTATGTTTGTGAATACAATACAACAATACCTATGAATTGCTCTTCACATTGAGAGTGAATTCTTCATTGAAATACATTCTTTCATTCATTCATACTTTTAATATTTGTATGTAATTTAAAGTTTGAATGTATTATTTAAGGCATTATATTCTATTACGTGTATTTATTGTATAATGTAATATATTCATTGGACTCTACAACCCATTTTAGCAATAGAAACTATAGTTTTTAAGTTACATTAATTACTAACTAAATTATAATTTAATCAGATAAACTAATAAGCTAATTATATAAATTATTGTAGAATTTAACAAGAAATTTTAATTTCAGTCAACAAACAATGGTAGCGATAATTACATTAATTCCGATATTTATGGCCTCTATAATGGATTTTCATTAATCAATTCAAACGGTAAGTGTCTAAAGAAAAAAGTGTAAAATTAAATGAAGGGTTTTAGAGTTAACTGAGCGGTCATTTATTTATATAGTGTGACATAAAAGCATAGTTATCTGCTTGGGGTCCAAATCATCCATAAAAACAAATGTCTCAAATGTGATTGACTTTTCACTCTTAAGTACTGTTACTTTCGTAAAAAACAGCGACGAGAGAGAGAGAGAGAGAGAGAGAGAGAGAGAGAGNGTAAAAAACAGCGACGAGAGAGAGAGAGAGAGAGAGAGAGAGAGAGAGAGAGAGAGTGAGAGAGAGTGAGAGAGAGAGAGAGTATAGGATTTCGAAAGCAATGTCAAACGTGTGCCTTAACTATACAGTTTCAAAATAGACACTGAAAAACTCCAAACCCAAACCCAAAGGCCCTCTCAAACATATGGACGAAATAAGTTGAAAGCAATTCTCAACTATATATTACACTTACCCTCACATACATAAAAGATTTGAAATGTATATTATATTATATAATACAGTATATAATTTGTGCAAAATGTGATGAATTATAAGAGTTTTATAACTCTTAAGTGAATTAGTTGTGCGAAATGAAAACGGATGTGACGTTTAGATATTTAATAGTATTGAGAGATTATATAATATCTAAATATAATAATACAAAAAACTTTGGCACAACTTTGAAGACAAACTCACAGGAAATACTAAACAAAGATCTCCTATTCTTTTTGATGCTTTTATATGAGAAAGTCGTCGCAAATATTTCTTTATGTATTCATATAACTATACAGTCATTTAATTAGCTATAAAACTCTATTTCTGTCTCCAATGATATCATTAAACATAATATAAGTTATTTAAAATATAGAATGAAAATTCTGTAAGATTTTATTTGTATGAAAAAACTGTTGCTTTATATGTGATTGATATGAATATCGAGAACAGTATATACTGGTTAGTAATTTGCTTAAACCTCACTCATTTATGTAGTATACACTATACATTATACGAATTACAAATAAATAGTGTATAAATTACAACACACGAGTCAAATGCTAGGTGATATTGCCATTCAGTACAGTACAATGTAATAATCAATTATAGAATATTAGTTGTTTGTAATCCAATAATAAATATAAACATTTTATTACATTGTTGTGAAAGTTTAGTTAAGGGTTATATGTAGGGTGTACTGAGGTGTATATTTGCCTGCTTTTAATATAAATAATATTTCTAGATACAATTTCTATTATACATCTTATTCAAGTAACAGTATAAATGTTTTAATAATTAGTTTATAAAGTATAGGATTTAGTAATAGTTAAATGATAATAATAGGAACATGAATTTTTCATATTAAATACCGTATCTCTTGATTTAAATACATTCCGAAATACATTATATAAAACTTTCACATAACAAAAATTTAGAGACAAAAAAACTGAGAAAAAATTTGGCATTTTTAAGCATTTGCACAAAATATAGTGTTTATTAAAGCGTAACCACAGCTGGCATTGCGATGCCTTTCCATGTCTTCCAATCGTCGGCACAATTGAAGAATATTTTGTCACTAAAAACAATGAATACTTGTTTGTAAACACTATAAACTGCTCTCACTTTTGTCTGCACTCATTTAGCCTACAATTTATTTGCTTTCATTAATTACAGTATTTTAATAACGAATGGTTTGAAATGTTAAGTAAGAATTTATAATTAAAACTATAGTTATTTTTACATTTAATTTTCTATATAATCATACAAATCTATAATATGATACAACTATAATGTAGTGAAGTTACTATAATTTACTATACATGAGATGTATAGTACGTGCAGAATGTTAACGATACGGTTTTGAATATTGAAAACTTGTTCAAATGCTAAAATGTATAAATACTTTATTTCATTTATGATATAATATTTCCGTTTTAATTCATATTTTTTGGTGAGAATATGATATTCTATCTCACGATCTAATGGCAAAACCTTACAAATGCTCGCATTTTATAAAGATGTGAGAAAACCGAAAGAATTTGCTTCACGGCATAGGTTTCAGTGGACATATATTATTTACAAACCAATTCACAATGAATTCCTCATTTAAACTATACTTATATAAATTGATTACTTATATAAATGATTAAAACTAATTAACATTACAATTGATTCGCAGGCAAAGAGTCGTCGAGTTGTGTGTCAATGGTTTCAAGTTTGGACTGTCTTTCATTGATTGTGGACAGTATATCACCGATCAATCACTCCATCACTCAAAGTGAACAAAATGCTCAAAAAGACTAGAATTCATCGTTTTATTAAATTAATGTTTTACCGACTATTTGTTTGTTTATATAATTTCTAAAATGTTACGCAACAATGAAAAAACAATAAAAAGTGTATTCATATTAAAATTGTTTCAAATTAACATTTATTTGACAAAAATTCTATGAATTGAAGAATTTTTACAATCGATGACAAGATTGAAGAATAATAGCGGATGTGGTCTCGACTTAAGGCCTAACTGACGGAAACTGACAGAATGTACAACTTTTTGACGATTTTCGTAGATTTTACGCCGATTTCACTCTCTATGAGAATATATACATTCAGTCAAGTATTTTCTGTTAATGAACTCCATATTTCTCGAAACATGTTTTCAAAACTCATTCAGTTTTTTCTTCTATTTTTTAACTTCAATTTTTTGTTTTGAAATCATATATGAGTTGCAGATTATTGTCATTTAAATATTTCCAGTCATTTAGTCAATCGCCATAATTAACAAAATATCTGATTATTTAGTATCGGTTTGGCGTTTGGGATGGGATGGGATGTATGGCACAGACAGTGTGAGCGATAAATATATTTTTAGAAAGATTTATAACTTATACAAAATGATTATTGAATTCAAATATGAAAATGTGTTAATTATTGAATATTTTTTGTCAAAAATTTACTTTTTATGTCAAAACACGTCAATTAATTTTACGCCAAACCTTCAAAAATATTTACAATTTTTATTTAACTCAAAATAATTATTACTCAAATTAATATCATATAAATAGTAAGACTCGTCAGTCAGTCTTAATTGTCATTATCGTCCGTCTATTTATATTTGTTTTTAGACAAACTTAAAGGTTATTTAAAAATATGATGAACTTTCACTTATTACAGAAATAGTAAACATAATTACTTTTATGTATTATTGAGAAAATATAGAAAATATTGTCAATTATAGTATTTGAGATAACACATGGTTATTGTTATAAAACCATATGTAACACATACTGTAGTGTGTTGTAATTGTAAGCTAGATAAAAATTTAAAAGCGCTATAAAATCACGTTAAAAACTTTTAAAATACTGTACAATAAGTGGAGAAAACATTTAATAGACTTCGTTAAGGACTGAAGGAATTTCCTGTCGTTTGTGTTTTATATTACTTCTTAAAAAATATATTTTATTTATGTATTTCACTCAAAGAAATGATTTATGAACTCAAGAAATATTTGACTTCTTTTTAAATTTATGTATTTGTTTAGAAATGAATTACATTTCAACAAAATTCAAAAGTTATTCAAACAATATTCATATCTAAATATATAAAAGTTAATAAAACAAAATAAAAATAATTTTGTTGTTTTTGTTTCAGTGATTTAACTATATTTAATATTT